CGCCACCTCGGCTCAAAGGAAGGAGAGAAGGAGAGAAGAAAGGAGGGAAGGAAGGAGGGAAGGAAGGAGGGAAGGAGAGAAGAAAGGAGGGAAGGAAGGAGGGAAGGAAGGAGGGAAGGAAGGAAGAAGAAGTAGGATTGTTGTAAAATAAGATGGGTGTATGGGATGGTAAGAAAGCAATCTCAATTATATTGTCAATTGTAGGGGAGAAAAATTGTTGTAAGTACATATTATTAGTAACAGTTATGAGATTATATAATTGTGAATGTATATATGAGAAATAAAAATTTTAAAAAAATTTAAATTCTTAGAGCTTTTAAGAGAAATACTATTACAATTAACAGCAACCTTTTAAGAGGAGTGTAGAAGATCAACAGATCAAATAATATGCTGTTCTTTTCCCCTTCCTCATTTTATTGATGGTTATGCTCTGGTGAATGGCTTAGAATTACCCTGTTTCCCCGAAAATAAGACCTCTCTGGATAATAAGCCCTCCCCAAAAATATTGCTACACAGCAGCAGCCATGAAGTGACCAAGCTCGCCTTCTCCTGCACCTCACAAATAATAAGACCTCCCCAAAAATAAGGCCAAGTGCTTATTTCGGGAGTCAAAAGAAAATAAGACCCCGTCTTATTTTCAGGGAAACACGGTAGCTTGGAAGAGAACCAATTAGCATATTCTTTTGACTTTATTTTATACTTTTATAGAGTAGAAGCAGATTATTAATTAGATCAAAGGGAAAGGTTTCCCAATTTTTCTTCAGACTGTTTTCTTTTAAATGGTGAATGTTTTTTTTAAAAAGTAAAATATCTTAGGTTGGGTAAAGCAGAAAATTGAGTTCAGGAGGCTGTATTATGAACTCCCCTATTCTTAATCTATGCTGCCTAAGGAGGCAATGATTGGTCTTGGTTTTCTATAAGTTGCTTTATATATTTCTTTTTTGTCTATTTTCTTCTTTTATGTATATTTGCCAGCAGCATTTCTCAACCTTAGCAACTTAAAATGTGTGAACTTCAATTCCCAGAATTCCCTGGCAAGAATGCTTACTTGGGAATTCTGGGAGTTGAAATCCACACATCTTCAAGTAGTCACATTTGAGAAACACTGAGACAGTTCAGTGAGTGCCATCTCATCAACTTTGCTCATATATATGTCTCTCTCCACAATTTATAGGTAAGAGACAAATTTATTATTCTTATTTCTAACCCTGTCATTCAATTTTTCCAAGTAGTCAAGATAGTCAAATGTTCAGAGACAATTTATTGCTTTTAAACTTTCTTGATTCCTTTCAAGACAACCAATAACACAATGAAGAAAAATATCCTATCATGTTGCTTACCATATTTCCCCCATTATTTGGACAGTAGCTAATGATACAAATTGTTCAGTTAGCAAAATTATCTAAAATATTACCTATCTATACATTTATGAACTCTGTGTAATAGGTTTTTCTTTTAAAATTTGCATGTTTACCATATTTTCCATTTGGAAAAATCAAATTGCATTAAAAAGAAAAACTCTTAACCCAAGTCCAAAGCTGAATGTAATTTGAATATAATTATTATTAATATGAACAAACAAAATATTTACCTCATCTGGTTGGGAATTTAATAGCTGCAGCTTCATATGCTTCATGTAGGCCATTGTGATTGGCATATTATAATCAATCATGCTTGTCACCAATGTTGGAGGTTTTCCATTATCTGAAAGAATTAGAATATATTATAATGTGATAATTATAAGGTTCTATAAACAAATTAATTGCAAACAGATATCTCCACTTTAGGAAAAATTACTCAGTAACTGCAACTTGATAAACTCCATGGGGATTATAAAAATGTCTTCATAACTACAAACTTTTACATGACAATTTAAAATATATTGATATATTTTATATAGAAATATTTGCAAGAGGTGCAATGAAAACCCCATAATTAATTACATAAGTATCACTTTTCTTCATAATGGAGTTCAAGGCAGGGGTGGGTTCTGGCAGTCACTACTGCAGGTTTGCTTGTGGGCACACTGAAGCAAAAACAAGATGGCACCACCCAGAGAACCAGTTCAGGGGTGTGGCATGCCTGGGTCGCTGCCGGTTCCTGGTGCTTCTGCCAGTGAAAATGGGCTCTTGAGCTCCAGTTTTTGGCTGCTGCGGCCTTCTGCGATCCTTTGCTGGTGAAGACAGAGCTTGGGAAGGCTGTACGCGGTCCTCCCAAGCATTGTTTTCACTAGCAGAGGGTTGCAGGAGGCTGCAGAAGCTGAAAACAGAGCTCAGGAGCCCCCTTTCACTGGCAGAACACTCGAGCCACCACAGGTGCTGCCAACAGGAGTGATGTCAAGCTGAACATGCTCACCTGTCCATGCCCACACTGCCCCCCTGAAGTCAAACACAACCCTAATGCGGCCCTCAATGAAATCGAGTTTGACACCCCTGGCCTACATTGATCAAGGCTATGAGATTGCCCGAGGTCCATATCTATGGCTCATCTGATGATGATATAACTTTGAAAGATATAATTTATTCAAAAGACCAAACAAAAGTGAAGGAGTGGCATTATACATGAAGGGAGTGCATTCAGATATTGAGATCCAGAAATTTCAGTGCCAAAGTCTAAGAAGTTCTGGATAAAAACACAAGGCAGGAAACAAGAAGGTATTATTGAGAAGTGCCGAGACAACTTCTGTACACCATCAACCTCCAGATAAAGCACTCCTGGACTAGTTATAAGAATTTTCAGGGATGACAGACATAGTAATAAAGAAAACTTTAACAACCCAGATATTTGTTGGAAAACCAGGTTCACCAAAGTTCCAAAATTTCTCAGTAGTCTTGCTGACTATTTCATGTTTCATAAGACTGAAGACAAGAACAGGAGGATCAACCTTCCTAGGAATGGGATTTTTGGGAAGAAATGACCATATCATCTTTAGATTCAAGATAGATACTACAGAAAGAGAAATTGGTGCACAATATGTTTCAGAAAAAGTAATTCCAGAGAAGTAATAAGCAGGATCCCATGAGAAAAAATTCTGAGATCCAAGATTGTGTAAGAACTTGTGTAAGGAATTTCTCAAAAACACATTACTAGAATTATAGTTACACACCTTTTCAATGAGAAAAAAATGGACATTTTAGATATTGCGCAGCAGGCTTTTAGGTGAACTAAGTGTTAGAAAGACATATTGAGGAAATAGAAGGTGGCTATAATCACCAAGCAACTGAATCAGTAATCAGCAAATAGCTACTGAAATAAAGTTGGAAGGCTAAAGTGCAAAAGTAACTTAGACTCACATGGAGAAGCTAAAAGGAACCAAAAGGCCTTTTTGGTAATGTAAATAGTGAAAGAAAGAAAAAAACGAAGAGGTGAGTCCATTAATACAAAAAAAATGATAGGATAGAATAGGATAGCAATAGGTGATGGAGAGAAGCAAGCATGATAGAGAGAACTCATCATCTCTTACTTTGTTTTGATCTTCTCCCCAAAAGGAAACTGGGAAGGATGGAGTGGCAAACAAGTTTTCAACATTGTTGTCAAGACCCTCATGGCTGGCAACATAAGGAAGCAAAAACAATATAGATTTTTAATGCTATGAAAATGGCAAGAACTGGTTTATAAACTCAGTAATATTACTTAAGGGACAGTCTTTCACTGAATTGCCTCTTCTGAGATAAACACCAAATGTTTCATCCCCTGCTTTCCCACAATAATAATATAATGTGAATATGGATCTGAAAATTAATTATCAAATACCAACACAATTGTTTTTTATGGGGAAGATGAAGCAAACTAGTTACAAATTATAGTAAATGAATTAATTCCTATATTTTAATAGAATATTAAATATGGGGAAATAAATAGAGAAATGTAAAGGTACTGAAATGCAAATAGAAAAATAATGTGTAGTTTGTGACATAATGTAAGGTGTGAGTGTTTGTCAAAAATGAGCAAAAATGAATATAGCAGCATGCTTCTTTTGGGAATTCAATATTTTATTAGTTTATAACTATAACAGCATGTTCTGAACATTTTGTTAAATGGAATAAGAATTGGTTATGTCAAGGGAAACATAAAGTAATTTCAGTGCAATGGAAAAATAATGGCTTATGAATGCTGTGATTCAGCACCAAGGTGAGCGACATCGAGAAAAGTGAATGGATAGTGAGCAAGGGATAGGCCAAGAATTATGCTTCAGTGATCCTCAAAAATTAAAGATGAAAGATCTGAAAACAAAATGCAATGAATGAACTGGTATGAACACAATGAAAGCTAGGATAATTTCCAAAGATAATGTAGGAGATGACCAGGCTGAGCCTAAGGTGGGGTCAAAAGCATCAACAGTCTGAGATCTGGAATCCCGACACCCCTGAAAGAGATCTTGGAAGTCTGTTGAACTGCTATCTGGTGTCAATATGCCTTGACCATTAGTAGATCAGATTCTTGTTATATATTGTTTGGAACAAACTTGCAGTACTTTTGAATTCTACCTGGTTTCTTGCACATGATAGATAAATATGGAAAGGTAAAGTGAACAGGGGAAAATTAGATTTAGCTACATTTTGTCTTATGACTAGTATTTCTTATCCCTTTTCTGCATTTTAACCTTGTTGTTTTATCTCAAAACTCCACTAAGTATGCTAGAGAATAAGCCAGTGAATAACGCAGAATGGCAGCAAACAATATTTAGGCATGTTTCAGGGGTAGGAACCATGGAAGAATTGAAGACCAGGTTAGAGGCAAATCATCATGGAGGACATCTGTGTCGCTAAGAATCAATAGCAACTTGGTGGCATAAAATCAGTCATACAATCAGGGTAACTAGCTGATCTGAGAAAATTGTCTCACTTTTGCCTCCCCTCAATATTCTTATGTTTCTATGAGATCTATGAGTTTTCCCTCTGTGAGAAAGAACCTTCCTTCTACAATTCAAATGTAATTTAAGAGTACTTATTTATGTATATTTCATACTTAATAGAAGACTTATATAGATGCATGGAGAGGTGGAGAGGAGAGGAAGTAGAGTTTTTCATTTCAGAATATGTTATTTATGTTTGGCTTGTATCCAGCCTAGAGTTTATCGGTTCTTTAACCCACCATAAATCATTGACATTTCATTTGTTAGATTCAGACTGTACCATCCTCCAGGATCTCAGGACTGCATACCTTATACTCACCAGATCCTTTCCCCCACTATCATAACACTAAGGGGCGGGTTTAGCTGAAAACAATTATGCATTCAATTTTCACACATCATCTTATTACACCCATAGAGGACAGTTATTATATATCATTTTAGAAAAGACATTATTTTATGTACAAATAAAATGAATGAAAACTATCCTGTCTTGGTGTAGTGGTTAAAGGGTTAGCCTAGAGAGCAGAAGACTGTGACTTCTAGTCCTGCCTGTATATGAGTGACCTTGGGCCACTCATTTTATCTCAGCCCTAGGAAGGAGGCAATGGCAAACCAGTTCTGGAAAACCTTGCTGAGAAAACTGAAAGGACTCGTCCAGGCAGTCTCCAAGAATTGGGCATGATTGAACAGAAGAAAAAAAAATTATTTCCCTTATTGTGGCTATATAACAGCATACATGGTATTACATATAACCCTTTAAGAGAATTTTGGAGACATACAATATAGTATATGTAGAAATAAGTTGATATGAATGTTTCAATCATTCTAGTGTACAATTTTTATGAGTCTTTATTTAAATCAGGAAAATATAAATGGACTATGAATAAAATGCTTTACATCTCATTATTTGGCACTAAGCCTACCTTTATGATCAGCTCCATCTGGGTTTAAATGCATTCTTTTCTGGCACTCTGAGCAGCTCATTAGGAATCGTGTAACTGCTTCTCTTGGTAGAAAGGCATAGGTCTCTGAAATCTGAAATGAATAATGAAATATAGGCATTAAGATATAAGTTGAGTGGGTATGATTTAATGGAACATCATTATATTTCTAAATAAAGTATATGATATCATAATTCCTGAAAATCCAATAAAGTATGCCTGAATAGAACATTGAATTTCAAGCAATAGCAGTTTATTTGGACTACCAAATCAAAACATAATGTTAATAAAATCATTTTTGCTTATGACAAAAAATGAGAAAATAATAAATACTTAGATGATGTTTCCAAAATGTATTTTGTTCATATGCCAAAATATTTGCATTTATCTGTTATAGTTCTATTCTTTTACCACTGTTTTTACTCTGTCCCCAATTTTGCCTTTTGATAATACTTTGTTAATTGCATGTCAATTTTAGACAATAGGAGGAGAAAATGCAGCTACTTTTAAGAGTAACCACTGTGTCAGATGCCACTCCTTTGCTTCATTGCTCCTTTGTGTAAGTGAATCCACACCATTTAATAGATTTTAAATTAAGCAACAAATATAACCTAGTGAAGGTGGCTTTGCAAATTTAACCTTACTATGAAAATAACATGATAAATTCAGATGCATTAGCATTTAAATAAAGAATACAGATGACCTCATCCTTCCAGAAGATGCTCTGGATAGAAAAAGGGACAATATAATTGCATCTCAATCTGTCATGATTAAAATCCAATATAGCAAAGAAATTACTTTTTTAAGAAACAGAACTGGTCTTGCAGTAATTAGAATGTGGTATTGCAGGATAATTCTGCCGATAACTACCAGAAGTTCAGCAGTTCGAATCTCACTAACTCAAGGTTGACTCAGCCTTCCATCCTTCTCAGGTCAGTAAAATGAGGACTCAGATTGTTGGGGACAATATTCTGACTCTGTAAACTGCTTAGAGAATGCTGTAAAGCATTGTGGTAGTATATGTCTAAATGCTATTGCTATTGCTAGTTATTTCAATATATGTTTCAATATAGGTATTCATTCCAAACCATGATATCAAAATCCTCTAAACATCACAACAGAAGTACTTTCATTTTATATACACATCATAATGTTCCATTGTGCACTGTGCATAAGGGACAGACCTAGTATCACAATATTAAGATATGTACTTGATCACTCCCCATCTTGCCCACCCCATGGATTGCTATGCACGGAAGCCCCCATTCAACATAGTGTTTAGTTCTACTTAGTTCTACTTTCAACAATAAATAATTATATTGGACACTGCCATGTTGCTGCCAGACAGACTGAACCAGTACATAAAATTAAGAGTGAAAATAGTCTGTACGCATTAGTTAACTTCACTAATATATTTCAAACATTTAGGGCATTGAAATTAATGAAGCATTCTTGTGGATTCATTAGCAACATGTATTTTGGGGGATGCTTCATTTATTTTAATCAAAAATTGTATTGAGTTCATAATTCATTCAGGTAGGATAGAATTTTATTTGGAAAACAAAAGAGTTAAACTGTGAAACTGATATACATTTCATACACTAGAACTTAATAGTATAGTGCCTGGAGAAAGCATTGGATTGCAGAGCCAAGGTGGCGCAGTGGTTAAATGCAGCACTGCAGGCTACTGCTAGATCAGCAGGTCAGCGGTTCAAATCTCACCGGCTCAGGGTTGACTCAGCCTTCCATCCTTCCGAGGTGGGTAAAATGAGGACCCAGATTGTTGGGGGCAATATGCTGACTCTCTGTAAACCGCTTAGAGAGGCCTGAAAGGCCTATGAAGCGGTATATAAGTCTACTGCTATTGCTATTGCACAAAGGAGACTTAGCTTCAAGACCACCCTCAGCCATGGAGCAAACTGAGTGACTTTAGGCCAGTTACCTCAACTTCTATCAACCTGTATCACAGGGTATTTGTGGTGGTGGTGGGAATAGGGGGAAGTATTCTGCTGGAACTTTGGGCAGAAAGTAATAAATTTTGGATGCCTATCAAAAATAGCTCTCATAGCATGGCACAAAATATATTTCTGAATGAGAAAACATCATCTTCTCTGTATCCTCGCGTATTAAATACTTTTAGACATAACACCCTTGACCCATTGGGTCATTATTTCAGAGATATTTCCTTACCTAATCACAGAAACAGAATGACTACAGGCAGGCAACACAATCCCCCTATTCTTCCCTACCTCCCTTCCATCCCTTCTCCTCTTTCCTTTTAGCCCCCTAAGAGAGGGCCCGCAATCTGGGCGTCCTCCTGGATACGTGGCTTAGTTTAGAAGAACACCTGACGGCTGTGACCAGGGGGGCTTTTTACCAGCTTCTCCTGGTACGTCAGTTGCGCCCCTTTCTGGATCGGGATGCTCTGTGCACAGTCACCCATGCCCTCGTCCTTTCTCGCCTGGACTACTGTAACACTCTCTACATTGGGCTGCCCTTGAAGAGCACCCGGAAGCTTCAACTGGTCCAGAATGCGGCTGCGCGGGTTGTCATGGGGGCACCCAGGTACTCCCATGTTACACCCCTTTTAGGCGGCCTGCACTAGTTGCCAGTTGTCTTCCGGGTGCGATTAAAGGTACTAATTATGACCTTTAAAGTGCTCCATGTCTTAGGCCCAGGGTACCTGCGAGACCACCTACTGCCACCGGTAGCCTCCCATCGTCCAGTGCGATCCCACAGAGTTGGCCTTCTCAGGGTGCCGTCAGCCAGACAGTGTCGACTGGTGACCCTCAGGGGGAGAGCCTTCTCTGTGGGAGCGCCTTCCCTCTGGAATGAGCTGCCCCTGGAGCTTTGTATAATCCCCGACCTCCGGTCCTTTCGACGCGCCCTAAAAAGTTGGCTTTTCCAGCAAGCCAGGCTGGCCTGATCAAAACAAATCAAAGTATTGATTACTGTTAATTTTAATTTTAATTCTTTTTTTAAAAAATGTGTCATTGTCAATTTTAATTGGGTTTGGGATATCCTATTTAATTTCTTTTTAACTTTTGTAGTATGTGTTTCTTTTAATGTTGTACGCCGCCCTGAGTCCTTGGGAGAAGGGCGGCATATAAATCGAATAAACCTCAAACCTTTTTTTCCTCCCTCCCTTCTTCAGGCTCTTAAATTACAAAGTATCAAACAAGCATGAGAGTTTTAGTAGTATATAAATTAATAAAATTTATAATTTATAGTCTGCTTTAATCCCAAAATTATTTCATTCATTCTCAGCTACAAATTCAGAATAAAACGAATTTGAGGTCCCATTTATACTGTCACCATTTTCACTTCCTAAATTCTCAGAAACAATTTCAAGCTATCCCATAATCATCCTCATTACACATTCCTGGCTTGAAAACACAAATTTTCAAGGAGCAAATAATGTTAAATCATTGTTGTCTCCAAGTTGCTTCGGGCAGTAACATGGCGTTTACTCCATTAAAGATAAAAATAAAATAAATAATATCTAAACCCTTACTTCATGTTGGATTCATTTGTCTGGTCTTATGAAAATAAAATCTCAGTGGTCCAGCTGCAAAGCTAAAATATTAAGCCCCTTTTCACTGAGAAGAATTGTTAATAAGGCTAAAGCTAAAAATCAAGGAAATGAAGGCGAAGCAAGAATTATCACCAGTGGAAAAAGAGTCACAAGTTTGTGAAGCTAAAATTTTTTTATTTCTTTCAAGAAAATACTAGCTTTAATAATAGTTTTACTGCAGTTTGAATGATACCAAATGAGCCAAAAATAATTTGCCTCTGTTCTCCAATATGATTGTGTGTGAAAAGAGAAATCTAACTATTTCTTCAAACTAATGCATAATTCCTATGTGACATTCCTCTACATGCCACCTACATACAATATAGCACATAGAATTGCAGCACAGGATGTGTTGCAAATATTGTTAGCAGTGTTATTCATCAGATGCAACAGAGATAAAACAAGGTTATGCCTCTATATTTCTTCTTTCTGTTTCTAGGCAACTTCCTTGCTGAAGTCTAGTATGTCTTGAAAGAAGAAGCGTAGAGATATATATTTACTCTTTACTCTCTATTCCATATTCATCCTGCTGTATTCTTCATTCATCAGATTTACATAACCAGTGGTACATTTGCTGTAATATATTCCATTATATACTATACTAATATATTTCCAAACAATGCCCTTTCTAGTACATGACAAATGATAAACATTTAGAGTAATATGACTGTGTTATTGTTATTAAATAATTGATGATTTAGAAAAAGATGACAAAGCATATATTTAATGTGGTGTATACAAAAAAACATAGGCATACAGTAGATATAATTAATTATCATGCTGGAAAATATACTCCATGTACTCTTTTGGAATGGGATTTTCACTGCATTTGAAATTTCATCCATTGAAGCATTGTTTTAAAAGGTTTGATTTTAGGCAAATTATTGGTCACTATTAGATAAGTTACCCCAAAGCTTAGATGGGAGTATCAACATTCAATGCCTTGTTCTGCATGATTTCAATACCACTTTTCTTTGTTCTCCTTCACTACTATGCCTATTCATTCTACTCAAGATATTTGGTAGAAGAGAAATGGGGGAGACGGGGAGGAGAATCTGCCTCTCTGGAAGTCCTCATTGTCATTGGCAGAGTAGAGGCTAATAAGTAATAATATATTTCATATATGATTTTAAAATGTACAGATGCATTGTACAGTTTAATCTATTAATGGTGTAGTTCTGCAGCTTAAAGTTGGTCAAATTTTGGCAGCTGAAACATATTTGAAATGGATTCATTCATGATAAAACTAATTTTAAACATATGTATATAAAACTGATAATATATGAAAAGATTTTGTGGTTTGTTTATTTCTTTATTTTATTATTTATTTAGGCAAAGTCATCAGCTAAGGTCCCATGATATAAATAAAATAAAATCTTCCAATATAATTGTATGCTTATGCTATGAGGAAATTTAAAATAATACACAAACATATACACACATACATACATACATAAGCATGGATAACCTGAGATGTAAAGCAATTCATTGCGCAATATTACTTGTTATGAGAATTTATCTTCAACATGTTGTGTAGCCTATACAATGGCAGTTGTTTAACCGAACAAATTTGAAACAGCGTCCATATGGTAGCTATTAAAATGTGTACAATTAAAATGAATATACTGATGTCTTTTATCCTAAAAATTATATATATTTAGAAATTTCCATATAAATTGTGTGTTTTCAGAAACTTATTTTATACTCCACAATATTTATTTTCTCTTTACAGCAATGCCATAAATATCTTGAGAAAACTATCTTGGAAAAAGCAGCTAGAATGATAGAAATTACAAAGAAAAAAAATCTCAGAGTGTGAATAAGCAGGTAACCAGGAAAAGAGCATACAGGTTCAAATGAAACTTTGCATGATTGTGGAAGTGTTATTCCATCCTATAACTAAATTCTTTTTTGTTCCTTTAACAACTAGGTTTAATATGAAATCATTTTGAACTTGTCAAATACATTTTTGATATAGGTACTTTTTTGATATAATGAAACAGTGAGCAGGCTGCTCACAACTTAGCTACTAAAAGAGAAACTGTCTGTTAGCTGGGTCAGATACAGCGCATTTACTTGATACTATGATAGCTGTCATACAATTTACTTGCCACATGCAGTGCACATTATTACTCCTGTATCTGACCACCAACTGCCCTGCAGGCATAGCAACTTTGACATGACAGGACACTCATAATTCATGTAAACATCCAGGTTCTTTCCCCAAGTGTTTTTCCAATTTTATGCTCTACCTACTTGTTTACAAACTACTAGTGTCCCAAAACAAATTTGCCAGCTTTATAGTGCCACAAAACCTTTATTATTTTTCAGAGTTGCAGAGTCAGACCAATGATACTTAATTTGTTCATACATGTTGTTCAATATAAATAAACATGCTAGCAAGCAAGATTATCCTGATATCTAAATAATGGCAACCTGAAAGTTGAAAATATTTCTCTTGTGTATATAATATTTAATAGTGAAATCCCAATATTTGCTCAGAAATAAGTTATACTGAGATTAATAAAGCTTTCTCGCAGCAGTGAGACAGTAGAAAAGTGACTTGATCTAATTTTTGCATTAAAAACTGAAGTAATCATTCATATTATTTCTCTGTGAGAGAGAGACATAAAATAAGAAATTAGGGAAATGGTAAATTAGCTGATTGACAGAATTGATGGCAGAGAGAAAAAAAGAATTGACAAATTGGCTGACAAAAAACCTGAGATGAATAGTTAACAGATAAAATAGAAAACAACATATTGAAAATTATTTAAATGTGACTTGATTAGGGCCAGGATCTGGGGAAATAATAATTAAATTAGGGGAAATGATTTCATTGTGACTTCTCTATACATTTTGGAAACTAAATTAATTATAAAGGAAATTATTTAATAATAATTTGGGGAAATTAATTGGATTACCTTTCTATGAAATGAATGAAACAAAGGAAAATTTATGTCACAGGACAAAACAGTAGATATAAATAATCACTTTTGTGTTGTTGGGACCCAAAATTATTTCTGTTTTTCATTTATTTTCTTTAATAGTTTCTGGCTTTTAGCCTCACTAACTTATCTTCAGTCAAGTGGGAGTTGTTATATGGACTGAAATGCTTGCTGTGAAATTTGTAGGAAAAAAAACTCCCCTCTTCAAGAGTCGTGGTGACACAGTGGCTAGAATGCAGTACTACAAGCTACTTCTGCTAACTGCTGGCTGCCTTCAATTTGGCAATTCGAATCTCACCAGGCTCAAGGTTGACTCAGCCTTTCATCCTTCTGAGGTCAGTAAAATGAGGACCCAGATTATTGGGAGCAAATATGCTGACTCGGTAAACCGCTTAGAGAGGTCTGTAAAACACTGTGTACCAGTATATAGGTTTAAGTGCTATTGCTATCACTATTCATTTTTGTATATGACAAATTAGTTCAGGTTTTTTTAGCAATCAGATTTTCATAAAATGGATGTTTCACAACTATAAAAAATATTTTATGAAACTGTTCACATTTTCTCAAAATGCCAGATGTACCACTTAGTTTCTAAATATTCTGAACACTTGATGATATACTTGATTCTACAGAGGCAGAATTGAAAAAGTGAAAGGTTGTAAAGTTTGTGGTGATATTTCTTCTTTATATATTCTATGTATTTTTTTACCTAATAGGAATATTTATTATGGTTTTTTTATAATGAATGATACTGGTTCGGTTCCAAGAATGCTGTACTAACTTACACACCAAAAAATTTTATGTTCAAAAAATCTTATAACTAACTTTTAATTATTGTATTGAATACTGCTTAATTCTAAAGTCTCCACTGCTTAAGTCTAATGTCTCTAATAAATTCCTAGGCGAATCAGCTGCTCACCGTTTCTCTGAATTGCTAAAGTAGAAAAAGGAGGTACTGGTATATAAGGGCCCATTGTCTTGTGGTTCTGTGAAGTTTTAAACATAGAAATTACACAAAGATCCTTTTAAAAGACATTTACACATAGAAATTTTGCATCACTTAAGGCACCAGATCAAATTGAGTGCTTTCACATAGTTTTGGAGAAATTTAAGGATGATCCAGAGAATGGAATTACATTTTGATTTTGCAAATTCTTGCACACCACTTAAATTTTCCTTCCCCGTGTAAACAAAGCTGAGGATAAGGGCTAAGTACAGTGTTTCTCTGACTATGTTCTGAGTAGGCAGTCAATGAGTTTGATTACATCTGTAAAATAATGCTTGTTAGAAGAGTGAGAGTATGTGTGCCACATTCATCTGATATAATTTCTTTAGACAAATTGAGTTGGAGGAAAGACAGATGAGAAACATGGTAAACTCTCCTGTTCTGATTTGCTCTTTCTTGTATTACCTTCTTTTCACTAAAACTATACTATTTTATTTTCATTATTTCTTAACTCTTAATTTATGCATCTGATCTGTAATATAGTCCATGACAGTCTCTGTAGTCCAATCTGTTTCAACTGTTCAGGTCATTCACTGTCTTGTTTATTTGATTTCTCCTAATGGTAATTTATTCCTCAAGTCTCTCAAATTTCCCCCTAAATAAAAAATAAATAACCAATCTGTTTCATACAAGTATTTGTTTGTCCTGACCATGCTCTAAGTGAATTTTCATTGCATAGAGAGATCTTGGGGGCTTTCAGTTATATGATTGTGTATAATAAAGGCTTTTTATCTTATACTGAATTATATATGCAAATGTTAATATATACACCTCCATTTTTAAAATTAACAGGCAGCACATAATTCTCAGAAAAGTTAACCCTGCCAAAGAGCTATAGTATATCAATAGGGTCTCTTGCCCAGAAAAATCAAGTGATAGGCTTTTTTATTTTTAGTAAAGCTTATTTTTGAAATAGATTTTGAAAATAAGTTGAAGTAAACTGATCCAATCTTCCTTAAAAATATTTTACATGTTTATTATATAAAGTCTTGAAATAATTTCTCCTAAACTATTATCATTAATGTTTTGGAAATAATAAGCTATCATCTTTGCTATGTTATTTCGATGAAAAACCAAAATAGATGTTAGCATTTCTTATTAGTTTGGTGATCAATTTCTTATTTAATTAATCTCAAATTCATTGAAACTGAATTTTGTTCCTTTTATATCTCTAAAACACAATTGAATATTGCTTTCTTCAATTTGGAACATGGTTAATTCATACATCACTATTAACAATGCCCCACTGTAATGTAAAACTACATTATTTGACTAAAAGATGAATTAGATAGGTAGAGGAGGACTTAAGAAGGCATGTTTGTAACTGGAGAAATAAAACTGAGGTTTCAAACTGGAAAGCTGGTTCACTATGAAAGTAATAAAGACAGCCCACATTATAATTAAAATACTGTTAAGAATAAAGTGATTCAAACTTTTAAAAAATATAAATTTATCATGTTTCTTGAAGATTATATACCTACTAAAATGATTGGAGATCATTTTCATTTACTATTAATATAGTATATTAATGTATGGTATAGCATATTAACACATATATTAATATGCATAAGTAATGTTTATATATTACCTAAATAGTCACATCTATGTTATCTAAGGATAACATATCAAGCATTTTAATAAATAAAATATTAAAAACAAAAGAATCACCTTGATAAGTAGGACACAGAATATATATACAACTTGATTTCTCTAGCAGTTACAGGAAAATAAGTCTGAAACATTATTTAAATATACTGGTGAATTGGTTCTGATCTATCTGATCAACATGGGTCCTATTATATCTTCCTTTATTATAATTCAAATAATGTGTACACTATTGGCACAATATAATATCTGCATTCTTTCTTCACTTGGAGTCCAAATATATTAAAGCACATCTCAGCTTATTAATGCAAGTCAACACAGATCCATCTAGGGATAAAATTGTTTGATTAAAAGATAATTGTTTGATAAAACATAGCAATATGGCATTCCACTTGGTGTAAGATTATTCACTTACTGCTTTATAGGTTCTTTTTTGTCCAGCATGTTTTCTGATTTGCTCTCCATTTGGTCCTGTTTCCACGTGCATGGAGTAGATTATATCAAAGAAATCTTCAACAACAGCTACCTGTCTTAATGATAGCTTTTCATCTACCCCAATTCCATCCTAAGAAGAAATGACAGGAAACACAAAATGAATATATAAATTACTAGAAAATGTATCTTATGGCCACAGTAAATTGTAGATATTGACACTGATATCTAAAGATCACATACTACTTAACAGTCAAATCAGTGATACTATTATCACTACACAATAAATATAGATGCATGTAGGATTCTAAGTGATGGTTTATATTTAATTGGAATAGACGAAGCAGTCAAAAATTGATTCAAAATTGCATTTTAATTAGAAGAATTGATTAGATTTGAAGAGAATTTGTGAATGACTTCAATAGAAATCTATGTGTGCATATCAGTGATGGGATTCAAATAATTTAACAACCGGTTCTCTGCCCTAATGACCAGCTGGGTAGGTGTGGCTCAGTGGTCATGTAACAGTGGGCGTGGCAACTCAACGTCACTCACATTGATGGGCGCTTCACCTTAGCGGTTACAATGCAGTAAGGGTAAACCAAGAGGCAGTTTCTGTAAGCAGGGCAATAAAGATGAGTCTAGAAACAACACCAGAATGTCTCCTTCCTGCCTTCCTTACAGGATTAGTCTTGTAAAGTGGAGAAAAACAAAAGGAGATTTTTTTCCAACAACCGGTTCTCCGAACTGCTTAGAAAGTTAACAACCGGTTCTCCCGAGTAGGTGCGAACTGGCTGAATCCCACCACTGGTGCATATATATGTGCACGCACGTGCACACACACTGTACACACCATATACACCATACACAGACACAGACACACACACACGTGTTTATTTAAGGTTCCTACTAAATCTTAAAACAAATCAAAGTCTGGTTTCACTAAAATCATGCATAGATAGATGGATCCATAAGCATAATTGGAACATTTTATTTACTATCCCTTTGAATTGCCTGACTACTGTGTTTAAATTACAGATAGTCCTTGACTTACAATCATTTGTTTAGTGACCATTTTAAGTTACAACAGCACCGGAAAAAAAGTGAGTTAGTAGTAGAAAAAAAAACGTGGTAGAGTGTTGGTATTGTATTAGCTGTAGTTGATTTAGCTGTGTGAGCCTCTTGCAAATGTGTGAAGACAACTGCGTAAATATTTGATCCAGTACTTGACAAATAGCATGTTAAGCAATGGTGAGGCCTCAGGTAAAATGCTGGCTCACATCCAAAGAGCATTAGACATCTGTGAAATCTTATACATAAATATTCAGGAATAAATCCACTTATGTTCGGTTGGATGTATTATTCTGTTAATAGTTATAGAAATTCAGCCAGTCAGATTAATACAATTAGATTCAGTTAACTTAAATACTGCCACTTGAATGGAATTTACACATGGTTCACTTCAATGGATTGGGACTAATACTGTGCTTAGTCTGATCTGCTGAATCTGGAAAGCGCACCTGAGTAAGTGGAGGACGAGCCTTACTGCAGAATACTGAATATGTTCTCTGTCTTGATCTTGTATAATGTTGATGTGATGCTATGGTTTTTGTTTTGTTTTGCTGGCAAATTTATGTTGCACACCATACAATTGCTATAAACCTTTAAAAAAAAACCTGGCAGGGAAGACACCATGACACCTTGATCGTAATAAACCTATATTTGCTTTGCTGACTGGGGAATTCTGGGAATTGAAGTCCAAACAACTGAAAGTGGGCAAGGTCAAGAAACATTGGCCTAGAATATTGTCATGTGTCTTACTGTAACCTTCAATTGTCAATTGAGCTTGTTGTGGTTGGAAGAAATTGTCTTATTTGCTCTTATTTTTCTCACTCATTAAAGACATTTTTTTTCTTTGCATGATATTTAAGGCTTTTTTCCATTAGGGATTTTTTGTTAGATGACAGAAAGGAGGCTAGGAGGCTTCTTATTACTTCATCTTGCACCTTCTATAGTATTCTCTGTGGCTATGTTGAAATCAAGGGTGGGTTGCTGCCAATTTTACTACCGGTTTGCAACCCACGTGCATGCGCTGTTCAATGTAAATTGTTCTTTGCGTGTGCGCAAAACAATTTACAGTGAACTGCCCACATGCAGTCACTAAAGACCAAAATGGCAGCAGCCCAGAGGTGGCGGCACGGGGGCATGGCAGGCCTGTGTCAGTGCTGGTTCTGCAACCCAGGCCTGAATTCCACTATCGGTTCAGCCAAACCAGGCCGAACCAAGAGCAACCCACCTCTGGTTAGAACTGAACAGAAATTGGTGACATATAGCTCCTCCTCTTCTTCTTCCTATTCATCTTCTTCATTAGAAGGGACAGGAAGTATGATTGGAAGATACATGTAAATCAGTACTTTATATAGTGCTGCAAGTTTTCCTCTTTTGTTCCTGGTGTTTTGTTTCATGCTTCCTACCAGATCACAGTGTGGAAGGGACTGGTGATATCATAAAAAATTAACAATGCTCTCCTAAAAATGCTTGGGATGCTTCCTGTCATCAATGGCTGGGAATTTGTTAAAAAATAAATTCAACCCTTCACTGTGATCATGCCTTGCCAGAATCATTACAACATTTAACATAGAAAATTTTACAAAATTCCATAACTGCTTCATTTGTGTTAAGTAAATATGACCACTAAATCACTACATTTCTCCAATTACATCAATATTGTTTATATTGTCTGGCAAAACATCTCCAAAATTTTTGTCTTGAATCTTTCCTGATGCTACTTGGAGATTGAATTACCACGACACTGAATTACATATTTTTCTTTAAGATGCCTCTTTCCTTGATATTATTATAAAATTGCATCTTCAGCAAGATAGAATAATACCCATGAATAGGGTTACAAGATTTATGAAACAAAAATCTGAATGGCAGCAAAGATAAATAGAAACTTTATCTCTTTTTCGTTATCTCATGCCTTTCCATATTTATATAACCCTATCTTTGAGGAAAACAAATATACCCCAAACTACTAATCAATCCTTTATCAAAGTCATATCAGAGCAGCAGTATATTCAATAAGTTATAGAGGCACAGTGATGATCCTGCCAACCTAGCAGTTCGAAAGCATGTAAATGCAAGAAGGTGAATAGGTAGGAAAATAATGGGTATAATAGTATTCTGTGTACCTTTGGGGTATAGTCATGCCAACCACATGACCACAGAACAACACTTTAACTGTGAATAGGAAATGAGCATTGTCTTTTAGAGTTGGACACAACTGGCAGGGAAACATTCAGGGGTGGGATACTACCAGTGTAACAACCAGTTCACTTCACGTGCACATGCCTGATGTGTGCTGTGCACATGTACGTAGTTACCCATCACTCCGATGAACAGCTGATTACACAGCAGGGGAGCGGCAATCATGCTTGTGTGTGCACAGGCACAGTTTGCTGTTTCCCAATAAAAAATGGTATGAAGCAGGGTCGGGTAGGCAGCCCCAAATCGGTTCAGTCTCTCCTGCTTACCAGAACTACTGATTCGCCCGAACCAGTCCGAACCGGTAGAATCCCACCCCTGGAAACATTTATCTTTTTATCTTCAGTAAGTTAGCCACAAAAATTAGTACATCACACATACACATTGCAAATGTGTTCTTTGTAGTAGAAAATGTTAAGTCAGAGACTGTTACAAAAGTGAAAATACTAATGATCAGTAATTTCTATATTTTTCATAATTAATGCTACAAACACATAATTATCCAGAACACATATGGCTTTGAAGCCATTCTCAAGATAAAATGATTTTAAAAAATAACTTGCTCAAAACTCGGCAGCCATTGCCATTGTGTATTTTCAGAATCCTGGTGATCTTCCAGAAAGCCTAAATCTGGGGAAGCCATTGAAACTAGCAGCTCATTAAATGGTTGTTTTAAGTACAGGGGAGTACACACAAGTAAGGACTACTTGTAAGATAGTTAGCTCTGCATTCAGTATTTAATATTCATATTATATCCATGTAAGGCCAACTGATACCATAAGTAAAATCCAACAATATTATCCCCAGCTCTTCCAATACTGAACTGACAAGACATTACCACTCAATGTGTCAAAAATTAAAGTCGAGTATGACTATGAAAGAGTTAAGGGCATGATAGCTCCCTACTCCTTCCATTGATGCCATATGCATGTGCTTATTGTGCTTAAATGTTTAATCCAGGACTTGCTACAGCCCTTGCATTGGCTTCCACTTGGACTCAGGATACATTAAAGAGCTGTGGTGGCACAATGGTTAGAATGCAGTACTGTAAGTTAATTCACTACTCACTCCAGGAGTATGATTCTGAACAGTTCAAGGTTGACTCAGCCTTCTGTCTTTCCAAGGTTGGTAAAATAAGGACCTGGATTGTTTGTGACAATATGCTTTTATGCAGTATGTGCTATTTCAAAATTTTGGCTGTGTTGTATAAAGCCATTTATAGTTTAAATCTGGGTATTGCAAGACTTATTCCAATCAAATCTTTTCTGGCCTACTAGGTCATCTGTTGAAATCTATCACCGGGTGTGCGTGCAGGGCAGTTTTGGCTGCCTGGAACACGTACACAGGAATGGAGAGACATCACACCGTGGGATGCATCGGGAACTTTTCAGCCTAGCGGTCGGGATTTACTATGCAAGCTCATGTAACGTGAGCTATGTGAGCAAGCTACGCCCATACCTGCCCTTTCTCCTCCCTCCCCCCACCCTATGCCATGCTGTAACTTTTCATTTGTTTATTTGTAACGTGTGATTATATACGCCTTTTGATACGCCCCTTTGATGACATTGTAACTAACTTTCTCAATAAAAGAGGTCTCCGAAGTACATTTGAAGCCCTCATCCCGAGGAAACCACGTCCGGTGTGTTCCTTATTCATTCGGTTCAAGAGTCATGAGCGGCCCGCCAGAAGCGGAGCACCGCAACTGGTGACCCCAACGTGATTCGGTGAAACCGAATACGTCTCTTGGAACCCCCAGACTCATTCGGTCGGACGTGCCTACTGCAACTCAGGGACCGTCGGAGTTAGACAAAGCGCCCTCCCTTGAATCGTGAGTATGGGGGGAGAATTCTCTAAGGCTCAGGTCGCGCACCTCCACAAACTTAGAGAGTTAACCAAGTCCTCAATTATTATCTTGAAGAACAATGGCAAGAATCTTTCTATCCCCTCGAAATCTGACTTGACCTCCCTTCTCAAATATGTTTATCAAACTTGCCCGACTTATCCGGAGAAGGGGTCGATTCGAACATCCACATGGATAAAATTGGGAAAGTACTTTCATGAGACGCCCAGGGTGCCACCGAAAGTCCTCTCCACATGGCGAATAGTTATGGAGTGTCTCCAAGTCCACGAAAATGGGATGGCTGGGGAACTGGACCCTCCACCGCCGTATCAATCCGGTGATAAATTGTCCCCCTCAAAAGGAAAAAAGATGATGCCTCCAGAGACATTAACAGCAGCGTCTCTGGAAGCTACAGCCCCAGCCGAGGAAAAATCGGCATCACCCGATACGCCCGCAGGGGCCATAGCACAAGCTCTAGCACAGGCAAAGGCTAAAGGAGAGCTGGAACCAGAGGAATATGAATTTTGTTATCCGGTAGAATATGATATG